TTGACCTCATACATAATGAAATGGGTAGCTTTATCATTTCATAAGAAAAAAATTAGAAAAAATATATTAATTCAGGAAAACTTGGCTTATTAGGCAAATCGGGCCTTGCATAGTAGGCCAAAAAGTGAGTTCTGGCTACTAGGTACGACATATATATATATATATATATATATATATATATATATATATATATATATATATATATATATATATATATATATATATATATATATATATATATATATATATATATATATATATGTCGTACCTAATAGCCAGAACGCACTTCTCAGCCTACTATTCAAGGCCCGATTTGCCTAATAAACCAAGTTTTCATGAATTAATGTTTTTTCCTCTACCTAACCTACCTAACCTAACCTAACCTAGCTTTTTTTGGCTACCTAACCTAACCTTACCTATAAATATAGGTTAGGTTAGGTTAGGTAGGGTTGGTTAGGTTCGGTCATATATCTACGTTAATTTTAACTCCAATAAAAAAAAATTGACCTCATACATAGAGAAAAGGGTTGCTTTATCATTTCATAAGAAAAAAATTATAGTAAATATATTAATTCAGGAAAACTTGGCTTATTAGGCAAATCGGGCCTTGAATAGTAGGCTGAGAAGTGAGTTCTGGCTACTAGGTACGACATATATATATATATATATATATATATATATATATATATATATATATATATATATGTCGTGCCTAGTAGCCAGAACGCAATTCTCAGCCTACTATGCAAGGCCCGATTTGCCTAATAAGCCAAGTTTTCCTGAACTAATATGTTTTCTCTATTTTTTTTCTTATGAAATGATAAAGCTAACCATTTCATTATGTATGAGGTCAATTTTTTTTTATTAGAGTTAAAATTAACGTAGATATATGACCGAACCTAACCAACCCCACCTAACCTAACCTAACCTATCTTTATAGGTTAGGTTGGGTTAGGAAGCGGAAAAAGTTAGGTTAGGTTAGGTTAGGTAGGTTAGGTAGTCGAAAAAACATTAATTCATGAAAACTTGGCTTATTAGGCAAATCGGGCCTTGCATAGTAGGCCAAGAAGTGAGTTCTGGCTATTAGGTACGACATATATATATATATATATATATATATATATATATATTTATACATATATTTCTCTTCTTTCCGAAGAGAAATTTGTTTAAAAAATTACCCCTGGAATCATTCCATGATTTAGATATGTTGATGATGTTTTGTGTATATGGCCTACAGATGTAAATTCAGACGAATTTGTAGCTAAACTTAATGATCAAGTCACCTCTATAAAATTGACTATGAAAGACTGAAATTGATAAATGTTTGCCATTCTTAGATATTTTTATTCATAGGGAAGATTTTTCACTAAAGTTTAGTGTCTACAGAAAACCTACGAATAATTTATCTTTGTTCATTATTTTTCAGGGCATAGATACAATGTGAAAATAAATTTTTTCCTCTGTGTATCTAAGAGCTCTTCGGGTTGTTAGTCCAGAATTCTTAGATGATGAGTTTTAGAATATTTGATTCTATTGGTCTCAAGCTTTGCTATCCACCGAGTTTTCTGGAAGTTTGCCGTAGCAAAGCACGTCGTACATATTATAATAATATATGCAGTGAAAAAATTCGTCCAAAGAATGTGTTATGTTTACCATATTTTTCTGGGTTTGAAAATATTGTTAAGGCCTTGAAACGTTTTGATATACATGTATTGTTTAGCTATGAAAATACTGTTGCTAAACTATTAGTTAGGAACAGCCCTCGTAGTGATAATTGTGTAATTTATAAAATACCTTGTAAAGACTGTAATAGGTTCTATGTTGGGCAAATATCTAAAGATTTGAAATATAGATTTTCGCAACATAAATACTCTGTAAGACATGGCCAATTGTCTAATGCTTTGTTTGTTCATTTGTCAGAAAATTCTCACCTAATTGATTGGGAGATGGCTTCTTCAATGCCGAGTTGTAAAAGTACTTTCAATAGGAACATAATTGAATCTGCTTTAATACAGATTGCAAAATCATGTAATTTGAACATTAGCAGTGGTTTATATAATTTAGATCTATTTTTGATAGATCAGTTAAAGGGCGATTTGAATAGGAGCATTGATACACATTTGTCTCACTAATTCATTGTTAATATTCTCTATCTTATGCTATTATTATTATTCATGTTTGAGCCATAAGAATATAAGAACAAAGTTAACTGCAGAAGGCCTATTGGCTCACAGGATGCTGCTCCTATTCATACCCACCCAATCCCAGTCATAAAATTTTTATAATTATACCTCACTTCACTTCACCTCTCTCCTGCCTATATATGTCCAAATCATTGTAATTGTAACTCGCCCTTCTGAAGATGTATTATTAAATACGAAAGTACTTAAGAAAATTCCTGTTTTCTTAAGAATTCCTGAAAATTCCTGAAAACTCACTCCCTCTATTTCAGCAATCTCTCCTTCTCTGAAGGGGGAAGTGAGTACTGAGTAGTACTCAAGACGGGACAGTACAAGTGATTTGTATAGTACAACCATTGTGATGGGATCCCTGAATTTGAAAATTCTCGTAATCCATCCGATCATTTTTCTGGCTGACGCAATATTTGCTTGGTTATGCTCCTAAACGTTAGGTCGTCAGACATCATTATTCCCAAATCCTTTACATGCTGATTTCCTACTATGAGCACATTTGATTGTATTTTATACTCTGTATTATGTTTAAGGTCCTCATTTTTACCGTACCTGAGTTCATGGAATTTATCACTGTGAATATCGTGTTATTTTCTATTGCCCAGTCGAAAACTTAATTAATATCTGCTTGAAGTTTTTCAATGTCTTTTGCAGAGGTAATTTTCATGTTGATTGTTGTGTCATCTGTGAGCGCCTGACAGCTGGGTGGACAGCGCTTCGGATGAATCGTAGTCTTGAGGTCCCGGGTTCGATCCCCGGTGGAGGCGGAGACAAATGGGCAAAATGTTTCTTTCACCCTGATGCCCCTGTTACCTAGCAGTAAATAGGTACCTGGGAGTTAGACACCTGCTACGGGCTGCTTCCTGGGGGGGGGGGGTGTAAAAAAAAGGAGACCTGGTCGAGGACCGGGCACAGCACCGCTCCTGTGTCAGGTAAGTCCACTACGGGCTCACCAAAGCCCGTGCTACTTGCCCCGCTCCTGTACCAGGTAAATTACGGGCTCACTATAGCCCGTGCTACTTGGAACTTGTTCAGAGTAGCTGAATATATAACAACAATAGAGGACCGGGCCGCGGGGATGCTAAGCCCCGAAATCATCTCAAGATAACTTCAGTCTGCAAAGGATGATACAAAACTGTGACATGTATTTATGTCTATATCTGACATGATAATATGGAAAAGCAGTGGTGCAAGGACTATACCCTGAGGTACTGAGCTTTTAACTGCGCTTGGACTCGATATTATATGATTGACTGTTACTCGTTGTGACTTGTTCGACAGAAAACCGAGTATCCAGCGTCCTACTTTACCGGTTATTCCCATTGACCTCATTTTGTGTGCTATCATTCCATGATCACATTTATCGAATTCCTTTGCGAAGTCCGTGTATACCACATCTGCATTGTTTTTTTTCTAATGCCTCAGTGATTTTGTCGTAGTGATTATGTAGCTGTGAGAGGCACTGTCTTCCCGCTCTAAATCCATGTTTGCCTGGGTTGAGAAGGTCATTGGTCTCCATGAAATTGGTGACCTGACTCCTAATCACTCTCTCAAATACTTTTATGATGTGCGACGTTAGTGCGAAAGGTCTATAATGCTTTGCCAATGCTTTGCTCCCTCCCTTGTGTAGAGGGGCAATGTCTGCTGATTTAAGTGCATCTGGTATCTCCCCCGTGTCCAAGCTCTTCCAATGTGATGTAGTCATTGCGCGAATTCGCCTTGGCTATAGACACATCTGGCAGGTTAGTGAGGCTGAGCCACTACCAGAATACTAAGATTGTAAACTCTGTGATAAACCTTTGATGCATTCACTAGAACACTATATTGATGAATGTGAAGCCGTAAAGGGCTTTAGACCTCCTGGCCTCTTGTACCACCAACTGTGTAACTATTTTATTGACTCAGGTGTTCTGGACGACATCCTAACAATTTATCCAAAATTTGCTTGTCCATTTTAAAGAATGAAGAACAATTTTTATTTTTATTTATATTACTTCTAAGCTGCATCACTTATGAAACCATCCCTGCCCTTGTGTGGCAGTGCACAGTAGAAAGTTGTTTTCACATATCCATACATTAAAACATTGATTGTAACCATGATATATATGTGCTTCAGCCTACAGTTTAGACCTATTGTCTTATGTATGACCCTCTGTCCTGCGTGACAGTGAATACCAGCATTATCCTCACTTTAATAAGACTATCAAAATCCTCAGATTAGGCAAAATTGTAATTAATTTTGTCAATAAAGTTGTTAATAATAATAACAAGCTCTTCCTCCACACTATACTGAGTGCCTGTGCTACCGGCACCTTGCATTTTTTTTATATAAATATTGAATTCCATGAATCTGGACCAGGAGTTGAGTTCATGGGCATGTTTTCAATTTCTCCTTCAAAATCTAGTATGCTCGTGTTGATATTAGTTATATTTACCGGGGTTTGGATATCCCGCATAAAGAAATTGTCTAGATCTTCCACTTTTATGTTATTTATTGGAGTGCTAAACATGTCCTCATACTGGTTTTTTTTATTTAGGATTTCACTAATTTCTTTGTACGTTTAGGAATGATCCTGGACGGCATGGGTTCGAATCCTGGCCGGGTCAATTAGAGTTCTTAGTGATATATAAATAATATGCATTCCCATATCCAACCTAAAAGAGCATCCCAACGTCGCGAGCCTCATGTTTCTAATGTCTTTTGTGAGGCACAGTATTCTTCCCGTCAGGGAGCAGTAAATATTATCTGGGTTGCCTTAGATAATCACTGAACACCAACAGATGAAGGATACAAATCAAAGATTATTTAATATCATTTGCTTTATTTTACACCTTAAAAATGGTAGTGTTGATACAGTGTGTAGTGAGAACACTTAAAAAGCTGTCGACGAAGCCCAGGGCTGTCGACACAACTGTACAGCGGCGGGGTTGTGGTGCCCTCCCGCGGCCCTGGGGTGCCCTCTTGCGGCCCTGGGGTGCCCTAGGACTTATCCTATTGGGATGCTTGCCCCAGGTGTGCTCCGAAGCTCATGGGATGATTGTCCAAGGTGTTCCTTAGAACACCTTGGACAATCATGGGATCGTGGTCCCAGGAGTCCCCAGAAGCTCAACGTATGACAGAATTCCCAGGGGGCACTCCAGAGTTCATCCCATGGGGTGGTTACTCAAGGGGCGCCCTGGGACTCAGCTCATGTAATGGTAGCTCTGGAGGCGCACTAGATCTCACTCCAGGTGAAGGGACAGGCTAGGGGAGGCGGTGCGGCCATCCCCACCCACCCTGGGACATCACTTGCTTGGGGGGCAATGTGAGCCAGGGGCACCTGCCAACTCTCACAAGGCAAAAACATCATCCCAACATAACTTGAGCCGTTAACTTAAATAGGTCTCCTCACTAGCTACGAGAGTTTGTAAAATGTTGTAAGGTAAATGCAGCCAGTAAAGAGACCGACCCCAAGCTAGGTGGGTGAGGGCCAGGTCACTGCCGCACGCGCCTCCAACCACCGCCACACTTTGTACTAACAGAAGCCAACTCTCTGGGTACACGGGGACCAACATGCGGACGACACGCTGCTCACAGCACTAGTTCACGCCGGGGAAGGGGCGGGGGGTCTACAGGGAGGGGGTAGCCAGGGGCTGCTGTTGGAGGGGACTGAATATATTAGGGCATTAAGGATAGGCTGGGGAGATTTCAGACATTCTTGGTAAGAAGACAAGGTCATAGGCAAGAGCAGGAGATAAGGCAACCCGGGGAAGAAAGTAGGATTGTAGGGAAGGTAGGGGGAAGTGTTAGACATCTCAGGGGAAGAGAGAGTAATAACTTAGGTACCCCTGGAACATACACTAGAGGAGGAAGGGGGTGGGTACAGACTCCCTGGGAAAGAAAAGAGTATTATGTATGTAGTGTGATTTGTAGAGGAAAGCAAGGACACCATAGGGTCTCTACTTCCCAGAGGCCAGAACTCATTACACTCAAAATGGGTATTACAAAAAAAGGAATGATTTAGTATACAACCAAAATGATATGTAAAACTATTCAGTAAAAATGACAATTTAGCGAAAAAAAAGGTTGGTCCGCTGTTAATAGACATAACATAGCTGGTGGATATTAATACATGAAAACACAACACCACAACTGAACTTACAATACACCTTAGTGATTTCCCTGTCTCGTATATCAAAACATTTAACTTATATAACAATTTAATAACTCTTGAAAAATATTATTAAGTATTCAATAAATAAATAATCCTTAAAAAGAGAGAGTCTATGTTACAGGGGGAGGGAGGGGGGAGGGGGCGCGGAGTCCTCTGGGTTTGACCTTGAAGGTCACAAGTCACACTCCGAGGTCATCACATCTTCGTCACACCCTTGTGGTTGTCACTTGGTCTTATGTTAACAGCAAGCGGTAGCTACATATTGGACAACTTCTTTTTTATAGATGAAAAATATAGAGTACAAATTTAAAAATATTAAATATATTCAAAATATATGATATGGCTTTCTTTTCACTTATAAAGAATTGGAACATCATCAAATTGAGCACCAATTACTATGGACAACCTATTTCTTCATGCCCAATTTTTTTGCACAACACTTTTATCACTAATATCACCTTGGCATCAGGTTAGTAGCTTTAAGGCCAATCACAAACGTGTCAAAATTTAGGATACAATGGCATTAGAGTCTTGTGTTTGGTAAAGAAGCAGAGCGCAACGGACTGTCAAAGCTGCAAGGCACTGACCATTAACACCTCCCGAGGAAGAGTCCGCAACAAACAAGAACTCAATCCGATTGAGCGCCATTTATGGGACACTGGGGGATCTACGGACTGGCTTAAGGACTCGGACCCCAGTCCGGAAAGCACCACTTGAGCTGGTAGTTAATACTTTGCCTGCTGCTGCATGGTCAAACCTGTAACATAACTGGGTGACAAACTGTCAATTTTGCCTGTGCCTACTGGCAACATGTGTTCCGAACAGCAGACACAACAGAGTCTCTTGGGTAGTCCTCATCACTGGTAAGGTTTCATGACTGGATGCAGTGATTAGGGACTGCTTTACGCTCTTGGTACAGTGATTCACAGCACAATAAGTTACAAATGTTCACGTCTGTTGAAATCACTGGTATGGAAGATGCCCACTTGAAGACCAAACAGCCTTTTACTTAGGATACTATAGTGTACATAAAAAAGAACTCTCCACCAAGCTCAAGAGGTGCTCGAGGACGTGGGCGTGACTATGAGTGTCGTTCACTACAACCTACACTGTACAGCCCAGTACTCTCTATCAGTGGCCTTGGGCTGCCAGGTATCACATTCTGGATGGGTAGGAGGAGGTTGGGGGCCTCACAATGTTCGACACAAGTCTGTCGCCACTTCGTCTAGAGGCGCATGTAATAAAATAATTATAATTAATCTTATATATATACTATTTACATACTCACAGTGAGTGATAGTCATTACATTGTGGAAATTTGAGGCAATATATACAGAAATAGGCAATTTGGAAGTTCACGAAAAAGCTTCCTCTCATAATATAATATTACAGATTCTTGAAAAAATATCAAGTTATTGTCAGGAGGAAACCAGTACGCATAGCGACGTAAATGATTTGATGTTGTGCAGTGAGTGCACAACCGTCTTCTGCATCACTCCATCTGCAGCAGCTGCTTCTTGAGTGTGGTCCAGACACGAGGTGCGGCCAACGCTGCCTCACACGAGGTGCGGCCAACACTGCCTCACAGGGAGGTGCGGCCAACGCAGCCTCACAGGGAGGTGCGGCCGGACCTTTGGTGCTCTTGATGCAGCTGGCGAGAATCCTCTCATGCTCGAGGAGACATCTACACAGAGAGGTAGAGGCCAATGCCCTTATGCTCCTGTACAGTCGATTTCAACTATGTCTTTTGGAACATCCACGAACTGATAGACGAGTCGCTGGCCATCAACTTTAGCCAGAATTCCTCGCTGGTAGTAGTATCTGCCGAGGAAATTAAACATTATGAATATTTTGTTTAAAAATTATAACATTCATGTGCATTTAAACTAATTATATCCAGTCAACTGGAAACTTCCTTGAATATTACTATTTATCGGATTATTATTTTATTATGGAATATGAATATTTATTACTGTAGATTAACAACATTTAAGATCAAATACCTTCTGATCACAAAGAATATCAGAGAAGCGTACACTAACAAAGGCTTAAAATGCCAGCCTAACTGTAATTTAAATTATCCAAATAACATTCCAAATATCACAAACATGTAATATGAGACAAAATTTCATTTCATTCGCTTAGACAGTAGAAGACTCGAACTGCCGACCCCACGGTGAGGCGGAAGTTCTTCCACTGACATGTGGGAGGGCCAAGAGGAAAAATTTCATAGGCAGCAAACTGCTGCCCAACTAAAATTGTATACTTCCCTGGTCTTCCTCTTCAGCACAGAGGAATTAGTGATCTACGCCCGTCATATAAATTGTCAACCACACTATCGTGGGAATAAACATTTAATTTACTTTGTTACTAGTAAATGAATAAAAAACGAGAGCATTTTGCCTCATTTTATACGAGGCAAAATGTCTATATTTACTCTGACATTAAGCGCGAAAGTGATTTCAGAAGTGGTAATAACACTAAGATTTAACTAAAACATGAGGATTAAGAGGACCAACCTGAGAGCTCGGCCCATGGTCTCGTAGTTCATGTCTGGCTTGTTCTTGTGTAGTCCCCACAACCTGGACACGGCCTTAGAGTCGACCAGCTTGAACACGCCCTTCTCCCGGTTGGTCCACTTGATGTACTTGGGGCAACACTCCTTGTCCTGTAGTAACTTCAAAAGGAACTCCCACAGGTATGTTGTTGAGCCTGAAAATTGCAACATTAAAGGTTAGAACAAAGCGGCGTTGCGTAGGTGTTACATTTGAAAGGTAAGAATATTAACAATAGTATTAATGCGTGTTGCAGACAGCAAGCCACAATAACGTGGCTGAACGTTAGACACCCAACCCAATCGCCGTGAACTATTATCAAGTTGCGTAAGGAAGGAGTGCTGGAGAGTGACATTCTTATCTTATATATTGACTTTCTCCGCCAGTCCGTTACACGACTCGATAATGATCCAGGACGGACCGAAATGTCATTATTTCCTTTATCTTCAGATGGGAAGGTTGGGTGTGTAATGTTTATATATTTGACCACATCTGCTGTTGGTACTATTGTTAATAGCAGTTTACTATTAATGGTGATAGTAACATGAAGAGGACAAGTATTGAGCTCACCTTCTCTACTCTTCCTCTTCATACCGGGCTGTTGCTGACCATTGGCATCAGCGGGCTTAGGCTTGCGTCCCTTCTTCTTCATCCTGGGAGGGAAGCCCATGTCGCCCAGGAAGAAGTCCTCTGCGGAGGAGGAGGAGGAGGGGGAGGCTGTAGAGGGCGCGGCGCCCATGCCGGAGGTGACCATGTGGTTCATATGTGAGGAGGAAGGTCCCAGGAGGGGGGAGGCGAGCCCTGAGGGGTGTCCGGTGTAGTGAGGCGAGGTGACTCCGTACGGCGCGGGAACACCCCCAGGCGACCCGCTCTCCATGTACCCCGACACGCCCACACCGTAGCCTCCCATCACCTGAGAATCTGTGGAAGAAAACGAATCTCATTTAGCCCACTACATCCATGACAATCCACGAGAATCACATTTAGTCTATTTATTGTGCACCTCATACCCCCGACCCGAAAACATTATAGTCATGTCTGTATGCGAGCGAGAGTGCGGCAGCCGGTGTTGGTCCTCCAGTAACCCATTAACCCGTTGTTTGAGCGAGTTACGGGAAGTCTCCGACGACGGTTAACCCTTTTCCGCCGGCTCAACACTTTCCCACGACGGCCCAGCACATCCTCGCGGGGGGGGGGGGGGACATACGCAACAACCCGCCCCCTCTACCCCCCCCCCCTCTTATAATTTCGCTATACTGTACTAATATGAGTTTCGATTTTCAGACGTGATATACGAAGGGGGTGGGGGGGGGGGGCCAAGCATGGGGGTCTACTGCTAGTGAAGACGCTAAGGCGGGTTCTCTCCGTGGCGGCCATCGTGGTCACAGGCGGCGCTGGGGACTTGGACGGAAGTCCAGCCCAATATTAAATTCACCGCCCCTCCCCCCCCTCCCCCCTCCCCACCTACTGCAAGACAAAGAACCAATTATACCTTCCTCATACTTCTCGCGATCCTTATCTTGTGTACGAACGCAATTTAAAAGTCAGCTCACTGTGTGTGTGTGTGTGTGTGTGTGTGTGTGTGTGTGTGTGTGTGTGTGTGTGTGTGTGTGTGTGTGTGTGTGTGTGTGTGTGTGTGTGTGTGTGTGTGTGTGTGTGTGTGTGTGTGTGTGTGTGTGTGTGTGTGTGTGCGTGCGTGTGTGTGTGTGTGTGTGTGTGTGTGTGTGTGTGTGTGTGTGTGTGTGTGTGTGTGTGTGTGTAAGAAAATAAAGGTTCACCAATCTAGGAGCTGATTTTAGAAATATGTGTAAAGAATCATTCAGAGCCTAGTACAATTCCCACACGTCACACTAAACCTGGTGAAGGCGTAGAGCTCACATCTATTCAGACACAAGACGAGTTAGATAAAGTTCACCACCAGAATAGTCCCAGAACTACGAGGAATGAGTTACGGAAAAAGACTACAGGAATTAAACCTCACGTCGCTGGAAGACGTGAGCAAGTTAAAAGAAACATGACAACGACATATAAAATCCCCAGGGTAACTGATAGGATAAAGACAATATTTAACACGGGTGGTACTTGTACTTAGCACGGTGAGAAGGGGTCGCTAGTGGAAACTAGTCCCCAAATGAGACACAAAGACATTAGAAAGACTTTTTCAGTGTCAGAGTAGTTAATAAATGGAATTTACCTGAGGGCCACTGACACTAGTGGTCTCGACGAGAACAGGAAGCCGGCGGCTTGTCGAAGTTCCCCCCATTTGCTTTGATAATCTTTTTCAGTTGGATTTTGAAACTCAACAGAGGAAGGCATTAGGAAGCGATGAGATAAAGGACAGCCTCTCCCCAGAATTTCAAATGTTAGATATAACAGAGCCCAATAGGCTCAGGAACTTGTACACCAGTCTATTAGATGTTGAGAGGTAGGACAATAGAGCCAAAGCTCAACCCCCACTGAAGCACAACTAGGTATATACACCCCTCCCTCGGCAGCCTTGGTCCAGTGACTTCCGCTCGTTTCCTGCACCTCGCCACATATGAGAAATTCAAACAACTTTTATCTTTAACAAAAACTAACATTTTTGTATAATATCACCGTATTCAATATAACAAGGAAACAAAGACTGCAGTGGAAATGTTCACATACCATGAACTTATCGTAACTAGTATATCTAATACGGGTGAAGAATGCTTATGCACTAAGAATGCACTGACCCTGCACAGGAGTGCTGCATAAATACTTTTAACAGCCTTACAAGTATGCAAGAACGGCGTGTCAGTGCGCTCGGAGTCCCTCAAGGAGCCAGACTCTGCACCTTACTGGAGAAGTTCCCGCCAAAAGTCTTGTGTTGGCAGCAAGATCAAGCACAGTTGCCAAGTCGACACCATATGCCGAAACTCCATTCATTATCCGCTTGTAGATCGCGCTATATAACTGCACGGCGACCTCTCTCTCTTGTTCATGAGAAACAATCGCGGTGTGCGTGATGAAGCAGGTGTGTGGAGAGAGGAGGGAGGGAGCGAGGGCAAGACTTGAGAGAGTGGCGGTACACATGAGCTTGTCGGGTGAGCAGGTGGCGGGAAAACGGTGTCAACGCGCTACCTCAAGGTCGGCCCGCGCCACCTCCTCTCAAGTGTTTCTTCTCTCTCTTAATGCCTATCAACCTGTCCTTCAAACATGTGCCAATTTTTCACACTTTGTGTTAGCTCAGAACGCGTCTCAATTTACGGTTTTCAGTGTACAGCCGTGTAAAATTGTAAAATAACTTTACTAGTAAGTAATATTTTTTGTGTTTAGATAAAAGTTAAATACTCAATGCGCTAAAAAATTACATTTCAAAATTACATTTGCCGTGTAAAACTGTAAAATAACTTTACTAGTAAGTAATATTTTGTGTGTTTACATAAAAGTTAAATACTCAATGCGTTAAAAAATTACATATCAACGTTCATTAGGCTAGATGAAATTAATACACCATTTATAAATGTACAAAACACATACATTCTAAGGTGTTTTAAGCCAGAATTCAAGGAACGAGGAGCAACAAGCACTGGAAGAAGTAACCCTGGCAAAAATATCACAGCAATTTCCTGTGTGTGTTAAGTCCCGCCAGGACAAGTGTAAGAGACACTTGAGTATTTCCCCGGGGACTGTAGGTAGGCGGGCAGCGAGTGACGTCTCACACACACTCTTAATATGCCCCCCCCGGGGACTGTAGGTAGGCGGGCAGCGAGTGACGTCTCACACACACTCTTAATATGCCCCCCCCGGGGACTGTAGGTAGGCGGGCAGCGAGTGACGTCTCACACACACTCTTAATATGCCCCCCCCCCGGGGACTGTAGGTAGGCGGGCAGCGAGTGACGTCTCACACACACTCTTAATATGCCCCCCCCGGGGACTGTAGGTAGGCGGGCAGCGAGTGACGTCTCACACACACTCTTAATATGCCCCCCCCGGGGACTGTAGGTAGGCGGGCAGCGAGTGACGTCTCACACACACTCTTAATATGCCCCCCCCCCCCCCGGGGACTGTAGGTAGGCGGGCAGCGAGTGACGTCTCACACACACTCTTAATATAACTGCAAGTGATTATCTAGTTCAAAAAAACATACGTCTACTTTTAGGATTAAACAAGAGAGTGTGTGATGGGCCGAGGGTAAACAAAAGAGAGTATGATGGGCCGAGGGTAAACAAAAGAGAGTATGATGGGCCGAGGGTAAACAAAAGAGAGTATGATGGGCCGAGGGTAAACAAAAGAGAGTATGATGGGCCGAGGGTAAACAAGAGAGTATGATGGGCCGAGGGTAAACAAAAGAGAGTATGATGGGCCGAGGGTAAACAAGAGAGAGTATGATGAGCCGAGGGTAAACAAGAGAGAGTATGATGGGCCGAGGGTAAACAAGAGAGAGTATGATGGGCCGAGGGTAAACAAGAGAGTGTGTGATGGGCCGAGGGTAAACAAAAGAGAGTATGATGGGCCGAGGGTAAACAAGAGAGAGTATGATGGGCCGAGGGTAAACAAGAGAGAGTATGATGGGCCGAGGGTAAACAAGAGAGAGTATGATGGGCCGAGGGTAAACAAGAGAGAGTATGATGGGCCGAGGGTAAACAAGAGAGAGTATGATGGGCCGAGGGTAAACAAGAGAGTATGATGGGCCGAGGGTAAACAAGAGAGTATGATGGGCCGAGGGTAAACAAGAGAGTATGATGGGCCGAGGGTAAACAAAAGAGAGTATGATGGGCCGAGGGTAAACAAAAGAGAGTATGATGGGCCGAGGGTAAACAAGAGAGTATGATGGGCCGAGGGTAAACAAAAGAGAGTATGATGGGCCGAGGGTAAACAAGAGAGTATGATGGGCCGAGGGTAAACAAGAGAGTATGATGGGCCGAGGGTAAACAAAAGAGAGTATGATGGGCCGAGGGTAAACAAGAGAGTATGATGGGCCGAGGGTAAACAAGAGAGTATGATGGGCCGAGGGTAAACAAGAGAGTATGATGGGCCGAGGGTAAACAAAAGAGAGTATGATGGGCCGAGGGTAAACAAGAGAGTATGATGGGCCGAGGGTAAACAAGAGAGAGTATGATGGGCCGAGGGTAAACAAGAGAATATGATGGGCCGAGGGTAAACAAGAGAATATGATGGGCCGAGGGTAAACAAGAGAGAGTATGATGGGCCGAGGGTAAACAAGAGAATATGATGGGCCGAGGGTAAACAAAAGAGAGTATGATGGGCCGAGGATAAACAAGAGAATATGATGGGCCGAGGGTAAACAAAAGAGAGTATGATGGGCCGAGGGTAAACAAGAGAATATGATGGGCCGAGGGTAAACAAGAGAATATGATGGGCCGAGGGTAAACAAAAGAGAGTATGATGGGCCGAGGATAAACAAGAGAATATGATGGGCCGAGGGTAAACAAAAGAGAGTATGATGGGCCGAGGGTAAACAAGAGAATATGATGGGCCGAGGGTGAGCGAATTCTCTGTTCACGATTGACGTTCTTCAATGGTTTATTTATTTATTATTAAAATTATATGTTTATGTCAGGAATATATGTATATAAATATATTGCAATGAGAGTATTAGAATGTTTCCATGTGACCTTGAGATTGGTCAGTCAACCCACCTTCACCCTTTGTTCCTTGGCCGCACGGGCCCACCCTCAACCAATCAGAGCCCAGGTACCACACCCTCCGCCAATCAGGGTCCTGATACCACGCCCTCCGCCAATCATACACCAGGCACCACACCTTCAGCCAATCACAAATCGGGTACTCCGTCAATGCTACATGGCCTAGTCAAGATCATGCACTGAGGCCTAACCCTTAACTACACGTCGCGCCCACACGCAGTCCGATTCTATTTGTTTTTCTTTTTTTGGGGGATCCTGGGGGGGGGGAATTGTCAGGGGGGGGGGG